TTGTCGATCAATCCACCTGCTACCCCCATCCCAAACCCACACACACGCACATCGAGACCGAAAATACAGCTGACCGACGCGGCATACAGGGATTGAAAACGAAACGTGCTACTCGGTCTACTACGTGCGGTATCAATTAAGCTTTGTTATTTTAAAATTGAAAAATGCCCAATCTTTGATTTCGTCAGCCAGTAGAATACGAAGGATTCGCAGGTTGCACGTATCGTGTCCCCACTATGCCCAATTTGTGTGTTTGTGTGTTGTTTCGGATAGTTGCTTTGGAACTACTACTACTACTACTACTACTACTACTACTACTATTCATTGTGTACGAGAGTAAAGAAATGTCAGAACAACATGTGAGAAATGTTGCCCCACTACGTGTCACACATATGGGTACACTCGCCGGATGGGGTTGGGGGCAATATTCGGGATGGAGGATTCATCTTCTGGGTGAGGTTAAAATGTCAGCCACGTTCCCGTACAGGCGCGGCAACCGTCGACGTGCACGATCACACAGCAATGCAGCCGGGGTGAACCGTGATTATTTAAGCTCGCTACTCTTTAACACACAGGTAGAGGGAGAGCGAGCGAACGAGGCAGACAGACAGACAGACAGACAGACAGACAGACAGACAGACAGACAGACAGACAGACAGAGTTGACTTGACCCTTCAAGGGGTTAGCACGGGGGGCTGAGGTAGGTATAGCCGAACCTACCTCATTCACATTGATTTTCGCCTTTGCACTGGTTTCCATGTGATGACATTTCCATTCGTTCGCCAGTCGTTGACCCTGTTCTCGGCCCACACNCACACTGCGCTCCGCTTCCAAATCACATTTGTTCCCGACAAGGACCAGGGGGAATTCGTCCACATCTTTGACCCGAAGAATCTGTTCGCGTAAATCAGCCAGATCGTTCAGTGTGGACTGTTGTGTGATCGAGTAGACCAACAGAAATCCTTGGCCATTTTTCATGTACAAATCTCGCATAGCTGTAAACTGTTCCTAAAACAGATAAAATTGTGGTGTGTGAGGCAGAAATGATCAACTGGGACTACTTACTGTGCCCGCGGTGTCGAGAATCTCGAGCATACATTGTTGCGAGTCAATCTCTACTTGCTTTCGATAACTGTCCTCGATAGTGGGATCGTATTTTTCCACAAAAATTCCTTGAACGAACTGCACGGTTAGAGCGCTCTTGCCAACACCACCACTTCCGAGAACGACCAGTTTATATTCCCGCATGGTGGATACAACTTATGGGCTGAAACAGATGATTCACAGAAACAGTAGTGATTTAATTGTACACAGACAGAGATACCACTAATATCAACTAAAGTGAAACATGGCGACAAGCGCTCACGATGGTGGTCCCCCTTTATAAACAAACCGGAATTGAGAAAGACGCCACTAACTTTGGTTTGCGTTAAGTCTTTCGGAGACAAAAGGGAAAAGCTCAACGCGCAGAGGTCAGTAGCACATAAGTTAGTACAAATGGGCACAGGTGGATAAAAAGACAATAAAAGTAATTCCGAGAAGCGTCTCACGTCACACAAGCCAACACAGAGCACCACCATCATCATCATCATCATTATCAAGATCGTAAAGCCAGATTGCGAAGCTCAAAAGGTACACAAAGTAAGTGAGAATGTATAATCTGAATAGGAAGAGGGCGTAATTCGAAAAAGACAACGAAAGGGGACCTCTACGGTCAACACACGGAGTACACAACCGAAATTTTCAAGCATTCTAACCTGACAAGAAGTGACAGCAAGATCGCCACTGCCTTCGGTTAGTTGCTATATCCTTCAGTGCTTCCAACCAACCAGTCACGGAGTCTTTTGGACCACAAACCGGAAGGTAAGAGACACTTTGGTGGTAGGCAGCTCTGCTGCCGTCCGGTCCAATACCACACCTAACCTATCGGGGCCTTATGTGGTTCGCCACTACAAGTCCCGGGGCTTAAGTTGCCGGTTTCCACTACAGAACAGCAGGTCCTCGTGACTATGGGGATTACCCAGTATGCTGTTCATCACACGAAAGTGTGTAATAAAAAAATAAAAGAACTTACTCTACCTAATCGCTGTACCTTTCTCCATCCCTCACGTCCACGTCATCTGTTGACTTCCACGTGATTTTCTCCAACCTGCAGCAGCAACTGCAAATAAGGTGAAGTGCGATAGGCGACAGTTGGGTGTGTGCAATACGTGTTCTAAACAGCGAAGCCTGCTCATCTGAATTCAATATCACAACGAATTCTGAATCGAATAATTACCAAATACTCCACGACCCTCCTTAGTGTTACTTACACACTCGCACCATCCAACCCACGACAAAGTATGTAAACAGCGACGGTAGAAGAAATCTAGATGAGGAATGTTTTCCACGAACAAACTCAGGATCTCGCGACCGTAAACTATAACTGGAGCAGTACAAGCGACTTTTCGGTTTTAAGGAAACCACGTCTGTGCAAGAGTGTTTCGTTCCTGCCTACACTGCCATACATTGGAAATGTGGGAGGTTTCTTTCTTCACTATATTACCGTCATTTATCACGTAACTACCTAACCGGGAGCAACATTCCACTACAGCTAATTCTTGACCATCAAGCATCAGCTCCGGGGTAGACGACACCCAGTCTTGCAGCATTACTTTGCACTTTGAAGGTGCAAAGCGCATACCAAATGGAGTTACAGGACTTGAAATTCCGTCAAGAGCGCTTTGCGCATCCCCCATATATTCGAACAAGCAAACGATGTCGTCAGCGTACTGTAAATCACAGCTTTTCTGCAGCTGCCCACTACATTTTGGAGACCACTAAGTGCGTTCTCTAGTATTTCGTCTACGACGAAGTTGAATAGGAGGGGCGAAATAAGGCACTCTTGACGAACACCGCTCCTAGTTTCGAAAGGTTTGCTTAGCCCGCCGCAGACCCTTACGTTACCAGAAGTATACAGGTACGGCGACCGCAATAGGTTTACGTACTTCTGCGGCATTCCTTTGCGAAGCAGCGACCCCAGATCTTCACTGTCAACTGAATTGAAGGCCCCTTTTAGGTCAAGGAACAGTGCGATTGTTGAACAACAATGTGTGACGCAGCTCGACGACTTGATGCAACCGCGACCTGATCGGAATCCGGCTTGATGTCCGCGGATATTCATCTCTCTGAAGGGTGTAAGGCGGGGAAGTATCACAGAAGTCAACACCTTGGTGATTATTGGAACTAAACTAATCCCGCGGTGGTTTGCACAGTCGTTGCGTGATCCCTTTTTGAAGATCGGGACGATCAACGATTCCCGCCAAGAAAAAGGGATACGCTCCTCCAACCAAATGCTGTGAAGTAAGCTAATAATCAAGTTGACTAAAGAATCACCGTCCAACTTAAAGAGAATACGGAGAAACCCATCAGGTCCGGCTAGCTTCCCTTTCTTTAATGACGGACCGGTATGCGAAGACCTCCGATGCTGCGCATCAGGTGAAACAGACTGACCATTCCATGATGCAGAAGCTACCTCCATTTCACTGGCTATTTTGGCCCACCAATGTTTGCGACCGTTCTCAAGACTTTTCCTGAGTTGACGCTGCAGGCGCCACTGATCCCTGTGCTGATCATCATCATCATCTTCATTGTGCAGCGTAATACAGTGAAGTAAACTTCACTGATCGCTGCCAAACTCATGATGCATACCAAATAAGGGAGAAAG